TTTGCAACTTGTTTCTGGCTTCACTTCAGGCTTCAGTCGTGCATGTCCCCTTCCTCAAAAAAGCAAGTCGAATGTGAAATCCTTTTAGCAGTCTCAATTTGTTATCAACACCTTTTAAAGCCGACTCGGCTAGGCTGCTCTCTAGTATTGACACTGACTCAGCGTTGTTGCGCTCTCATGTTTGACATATATGTCAGGTTGCCAAAATGATGGTTCTTGTTGCACCATCTATAGCCTTCTTTTTTTGTTTTTAATGGTGCATCGGTCTTGTTTTGGATGTTTCGAACATGCCGCTTGCTTCTCCGCGCTTGTGGTGAAGCTATCAATGAGAGAGGACTCCGTTCGGGTGTTGGAATGACAGTTGTCTGCGCAGAGTCCTGTGCAATCTGGGAAAGTTGGTTGCCCTGGATCTGAGCCTCCAGGGAAACACACCAGCTGTAGTGTCAAATTCAGCGCCCTTAGTCAAAGAGCGATCCGTTTAAGAATGGCATGGATCTGTGGCATCGCCATTCATTCAATCAGGTCGAAAATGGTCAGGTGCCCAATCCTCGTGTATACATTTGGGCTCCAGCTAGAGGGAGTAGGCCTGATCACGACTGGTTGACACATTTGTTTGCCAGCTGGGTGGGTGCTGACAGTTCAAACTCCGCGAAACACGATTCATGGAGGATATTTTGGAACGAGGTTTGCGAATTCCTATTTTCACTTCAAACCACCCAGATCTTCCCACGCCATGAAGGTGGATGTTCACTTGCCCAGCGGAAGCGGTTGCTCCATCGAAGTCTCACCAGAGACTCCCGTCAGCGAGCTGATCGTTGCAGCCCAGCAGAACTTCCAGCGCCGCTTGAAGCTCACTGCGAAAGGCCGGCAACTCGATTTAACGGCGACAAGATGGGGATGTGGTGGACGCGGCAGTGCAGACTGTCATGCTGGCTGCCACTGGGATGGCGTTTGCTTTGCATATCCACGGGGGCAAGGTTGTGACGTGGGGTGATCCAAGAAGGGGCGGAGACAGCAGCCAGGTGCAAGAGCAGCTGAGGAAAGTAATACAAATTCAAGCAACAGACTTAGGTGCCTTTGCCGCCGTTCTTGAATCAGGAGCTGTTGTGACATGGGGTCATCCTGACAATGGTGGAAGCAGCAGCCAGGTGCAAGAGCAGCTGAAGGATGTCAAGCACATTCAAGCAACTGACCGTGCTTTTGCTGCCATCCTTGAATCTGGAGCTGTTGTGACATGGGGTCATCCTGACTATGGTGGAAACAGCAGCCAGGTGCAGACGCAGCTGGTGAATGTTCAGAGAATCCAAGCAACTCGCGAAGCGTTTGCTGCCATTCGTGGATCAGGACATGTTGTGACATGGGGCGGTCCAAATGGTGGTGGAGACAGCAGATTGGTGCAAGAGCAGCTGAAGGATGTCCAGCAAATCCAAGCAACTAAAAGTGCGTTTGCTGCCATTCTTAAATCAGGAGCTGTTGTGACATGGGGTTCCTCTCAATTTGGCGGCGACTGCAGTTGTGTGCAAGACCAGCTGAACGATGTCCAAAACATCCAAGCAACTCATCAGGCGATTGCTGCCATTCTGCAATCCGGAAACGTTGTGACGTGGGGTGATCCTGGCTATGGTGGAGACAGCAGCCAGGTGCAAGGGCATCTGAGGAATGTCCAGCACATCCAAGCATGCCACGGTGCGTTTGCTGCAATTCTGCAATCTGGGGCAGTGGTGACATGGGGTTATTCTGAATTGGGCGGAGACAGCAGCCAGGTTCAAGAGCAGCTGGTTAATGTTCAGCAAATCCAAGCGACTTACTTTGCTTTTGCCGCCATTCTTGACTCCGGAGCTATTGTGGCATGGGGCTGTCCCGAAAGTGGCGGAGACTGCAGCCGGGTGCAAGACCAGCTGAACAATGTGCGACACATCCAAGCGGCTTGTGGAGCATTTGGTGCCATTCTTGAATCAGGAGCTGTTGTGACATGGGGTGATATTTACCGAGGTGGAGACAGTCGTGAGGTGCAAGATCAGCTGAGAAGCGTCCAGCTAATCTCCGTTTCGCTTTGGCGCCGCTTTTGCTGCCATTCCGGCCAGTGGTGCTGTGGTCACTTGGGGCCATGAGAAATTCGGCGGCGACTCCACGGCAATTCAGGAGCAACTTTGCAATATGTGTTATATGTATTGTTGACAGGTCAGGTGGAAGAGTCGCGTGTGGATCAGAAGCAAATTAAGTACGCTGCCTTTCTTGTTGTGGGATGCAGTCTGCGTGGCGCTGGGGCTGGGATGAAAAGAGATAGCGATTCTTGTTGTGGGCACGGATTGCAGCATCCAACTTCGGTGTGTTCCCTTGGAATGGAGCAGCCAGATTCCTTTTAGACTACTTGGGAAGCATGCATGGCCCAACAAGAATCCTTTTTGACACAGGACTCCCATGGTGGGCCTCTGGATTGCTCGATTTGGTTGCTGGATGAAGGGTTTGATTATGTTAAGAGGTCCATTAGGCACCCTTGGACCCTGCGCATTGGGGCACACGACCCCAACAAAGTCCGCGGTCGGGCATTTCGAATCCGGGGTCAACATCTAGTAGTGAGTGTAGTTGCCCGTTTCACCTTGGATTGAAAGGGAAAGCCAAAGGAGCACCGGAACACCCAACCATTCTATGTGTCCCCCTAATTCAGACAGATACCCACATCAACATGTTGCCTTCTACGCGGGCTTGACAAAACGCCGACATAGAGAGGAGTTGCACAGCTCGGCGGGCCCTTTTTACCGGTTGTTCCCACAGGGACCCTCTTTTGGACCCATCGGTTAAACCCATAAGCCCTTATCCACAAGATGTCGACAAGTTCACAAGGGCGTCGCCTTGTTTGGACTCCCTGTAAATAAAGGAAAAGCAAACGGCATTCAAGCGACCCCGGCTTCCAAGGTGTCCCACATCCAGCAGCAGCAGATGACCAGCGTTTTGGCCGCCCTGGCTGCATTGGAGCATGCCAGGTCTGGCACAGCTTGGTGAGCCCTGATTTGAAACTAACCTGCAAGCAGGGAAACAGAGAAACCCTGTGCAGGCTAGCGTATGTTAGCGTGGTTTACAGTTGGTTGTAACATTGGGGGCACTGGACCTCCTTCAGTAGTTGTGTTTTTGTTTTAGTTTTGGGGTTGTTTCAAGTTTCAAAGGGAATCGGGGAAACCAGGGCCCTTTCGGGTCCCAGACTCCCAGACCCCCAGACCCATCGCAAGGACGACAACGTGCACTGCGTGGCGGTCACAGGTACCTTTGACGACTGCCAGGATATTGTGAAGGACACGGATCATGCGTCAAAACAGGGGCGCCCCCCCCAACTGATTGATTTCCTTTTGGTTTCCCATTGCACCAATCCCAGAAAGAGTACCCAAAAAGAGCAACCAACTGGCGGCAAACCACCTCCTGCACCAGTTCGTAGGTGGCTCAATCCAGTCATTATTTGCAATCAGGGGTTTGCCAATTATCGGTGGTTCAGTATATTGTGCGTCAACAGGATGTCAGGAGAGAGTGTACCTGCTCACACCATGGATTCCCTTCAGCACTTTGCAAAGGCATGATTTAGCCATGTTTCTCCAGCTTCCTTGGCTGGAAGAAGCCTCATTTGAGCGTAGCCTTTTCGACACGAATGCGGATGCCAAGGCGGCTTGGGTTGTTGCAAAGGATAGCTAGCCGGACCATATTCACCATCTGGGAGGTTCCATGTTCCATGGGATGCTTCTGCTGTTTCTGTGGCAGCGGCCACAGAGCTTTCTGGCTCAAGACAACACCATGGAAGAAGACGACGACCCAATATGGCGCAAGGCCGGGTTGGGCTTATTCTTCAACCTTTTTTTGTTTATAAAGATTCGGTGAACAACCAATTGTTTACACCAGCTCCTCTTGGTTTCGCTTGAAAAGGGGCCCAGGGTCTGCACACATTTCGCGCACATTGGTGCACACATGCTTCGACCAAACCTGCGAGGCCGCCACTTCGAAGCCCAAGACGTTGAATGAAGACCCCTACAACGCCCGGCGCCCAGGTTCCGCGGATGCGCCCGCCGGGTCTGCGGCGTTTCTTGAGATGAGGATCTCCAGATCCCAGGCAAGATGTGTTTTTGAAGCACGCAAGCCCATTCTAATGATTTTGTCTCTAATATTACTTTCAGGTTGGTGAATGTCATAATTCCCCAAAGGATGTGTTTTCGCAAAACATTTCGAGATTGCGTGTGTTACGGTTTGGTCTCTCACCCTTCCGATTGGCGAGAGGTCCTTCGTCGGACTGCTACCGCGCCCCCACCCAAAAGCGGAGTTTCACATGAATCAAAGGCAAATGAAGCGATGCATCTCTTCCTTCAATATGTGCAAACTGTATTGGCCTCAAGGCTCACCCCAAAATGTTGGGGTACGGTGCCCATGGAATTTCGCGGGCTTTCGTTTGGCTTCGAATTGTTTGCTAGCTCCAGGTTTTTTCCAAAAGGACAGCTTGGGCTGCAGTAATGCGGCTCGTCCTTGAAAATGCAGAGCCCTCAACGCCAGGTCGTTGTCGGTGTTGCTTTCGCTCAGACAGGGTCGCTTCGAGCCTCAAGATGGCAGTAGACAATGGGCTCATAGTTAGCCAGTATGCACCTAGCATGTATGTTCTGTATCTCTGCCGAACCTTGTACTTATTGCTTTGGTTGTCTTTAGATCAAACAGCCGAAGCAATCGTTTGGGGTTTCTTTTGACAACTTGTTTGCCAGCGTACGAAGGACCTAGAGACCTAGACGGAGGTTCTTTAGGAAGCCATGGTTGGTTTCCTTTGCAAGCAAATATGATGGGCTTTGATGTGACTTCAATTTCAATACCTTCATGTGTTGGGTTCTAGGGTTCAACCCCCATAAGAATGGCAAGGGCCAAATTTGGATGACAATCTTGAAGGGTGAACTATGGTGGTTTTATGAACCCAACCAATGGTGGTGACTGATCCTCTGATTCCTTCGAATCCCCAGGTCTATGCCGAGGAGTGCGCCATGGAGGCGTGCAAGTTGGGCTTCGAGGTGGCGGCCGAGATGTTGGAGACGGAGCCCCATTCGTCGACTCGCTCGCGAGAACCCGGGTGCATTCGTCGGAAGGGTCGGAAGCAACCGAAATTCGGGGTTGGTACCTGGTGAGGCTGCTCTGTGTGTGTGTGTGTGTGTGCGTGAGTATCTATGTTGATACAACTGAATACAAAGCAATGTACACATACAGGGCCTCATAGTATTGTGTACATGCATACTTGAATATTTGTATTATGAACATGTATAGATGTATCCGCGGTTGTAAGCCAAGTCCACTGGCTAGATGTCTATGTCGAAACATGCAACCGGCGAAATGCGAGGGATTGGATCCAGTGGCGAGCTGCACATGGCTCTAGCCAGGGGTTGGCGCCAAGGTAGTGGTGCCGCGCGTCCAAGAAAGTGTTTCCTCTCCCACCCTTTCGTATCGTCCAACAGCTGCCCCATTAAAGCGCATGTATTGTTTGGATTTGTTTGGTTTATTCATTGATTTGTGAATTTAGTGATTCATTTACGTATCAACCTGTCCATGTAGTTGCCATTAATTTGCATGGTTAATCGGAACCTTGCATTTCATCCCTCGGCGGTTTTACTTGGCCCCAAGCAAGTTGCTTTCGTGGTGTGACAACAGGGTGGACGCACGAAACAAGTGTTGCTTGATCTTGCCTTCTTGTGACTTTCGATCCTGGATGGGCCCGTGGCTGCATGCAATTAAGAAGCCCTACGGTGCAAAGAAACCTTGATTTCCTTCCTACCTTGGGGATGCTTCGCATGGACCACCCACCCTCCAGAAGCTACTTTACCTCCAACAATCCCCACCTAAGACATTTGCGTGGCTAAACTAGACGGCAACCACACAGGCGCCTGTTTGTCTTTCAAGTAGTGAAGTAGATGGGCGTGTCTTTCTTGGTAACCTGTTTGTGGTCGTTTTACTGGGATACCAAAGGGAAGATGCCCATCTTTGAGGTCCCATTTTGAGACACGCTTCAGGGTCGCCATATCTAGAATGATGGGTCTGTCCAAGTAGTGCACTCCATGCACTCCCCAAATTTGGAACAGGTTTCTGCGGCGAACGAGAGGAGCTGGTGTTCTCCAGCTGCGGCAGCCTTGTGAAGGGCACCCCTGACGGCGGCTTCCGAGACGCCGAGGCGCGGGCGAGCCTTTCTCGGCGCGCTGAAGCGCGTAAGCCGCGCGCGCGTCGCGCGTCGGCGGCTTGGGATCCGTTGGGGTTGTTGTCAACTCACCCCCGGAGTGCGGATGGGAACTTGAGTATCTTGAGTCACACTTTGGGTGACCATGGCAAGCAAGAGTTGAGACACTTCTTGCGCCAATCCACTTAGGATGAGTGTGTGCGTGTCTCCTTTTTTGCAATCTGGGCGTTTTGGAGGAAGAGCAAGAAAGAAACTAACATGGGAACTCCTGTTGGTTTCTTGGAAAGTGAAAGGAGGCCATGCTATCTGTTTCTTAACGGTTCCCTCTTGGCTTTTTGCGCGAATGTTCCGGAGAAGTCACGTGCCAGGCAAAAACCGACCTGTCAACGGAATCAGAAATTCTCACTCTGCGGGGCTGGGGCACCACTCAGTTTCATGTGTCAAACCAACCGCCCACTGCCCACTTTCGCCAAAAGCTCCCGCATAAAACAAGTGTTGAGCCCGAGGGACGCAGGATGGAGAGACCTGCTTTTGAACGGGCTTTAGAGCCTGACGGTCGCCCCATGAATGGATATAGGGTGAGGACTCCCTGGTTGCGAAGACCCAACCCTAAAAACTCGCCAAGTCCCCTGGCAACCTGTGGGTGCGACTCGTAGAGTTTGGCCGCAAGTTTCATGTCGGCCCAGGGCCTCTTGCGGCTGGTGCAAGTGGTGCGGGTGCCGCTATTGGAGCACATGGACGAGGAGACTCCAAGGGCGACTTCGTGTCACGGTGTGTGAGTCCGAGGCTTTTGGTCGGATCATTGAAGTCAACCTCCTGGAACCCCAACTGCCCCGCCATGTACCAACTTCCAAATGGCATGCCCTTTTGCCTTCCGGGTTGTCCCTTTTAACCGGCAACAGGTTAGACAAGAAGGGGGTCTCAGTCTGCCTAAGTTGTGTAGGGTTTTGCCGAACCCGGTGTCGTCTATCGTTGATGGGGGGACATGCGGAGCTCACAAAGCCAGGGGACACCAATTTCCACGTTCTTTTGTCGGAAGCAAGTTTTTTGGCCGGGCGTTGGCGAGGTGTTTTTTGATGATGCCGCGATGTTTTTTGTTTTAGAAGGAACCTACATTTTGGCGTTTGATACACACCCACATTGTGGTTGGTCAAACTCCATTGCGCAGGTGGGTCTGTCAACGAGTATGCACAGCGTGTTATCCATCCCAGCTGCTACCTACCGCGGAATTTGCCCATCCTCACAATTTTGCTTGGGTTGTTTCTTTCTTCTGGTTTCCCTTGCCAAGCTTTAACCTCGGGTACTCTAAGGACACACTCACCCGTAAAGGGACCCACAGCCCAACCGGACCGAAGTTCGATAGGACGAGGCGGCGGACTGCCTCTACAACACGGTGCTGGCCAAGATCGTGAAGTCGCAGGTGTGGATGCCCCTCGGCAATCCGTCGGCAATCCGTCGCTCACCTCAAGCGTTGGTCGCGCAGCGGGTGCCCGGCTCCCCACTTTTGCAGGTTTTGGGGAGGTGGCCCGGGGGTTGAGTGACTGTCTGAAGCCGCTGTCTTTTGTGTCTGGGCGAAAACGCAAATCCATGTGTGGATGTCCATGTGTCTCTCTGAGAAACGTGTTGATTTGGTGGGGTGTTTGAAAGGGAATCCAAAGGTTACTACAGGACCCAAGTGATTATGAACCGAATTACATTATGATCGGATTTTTTTGTAAGTTTAGCCCCGTGTGTTACCCACGCAGTGGCGTCCTCTTTCAACCAACCCCAAATAGGGGTACCGCGCCGGGCAAGCATGGCAGGGGGGACAGGAAGGCGGTAGTTTGACTGAAAAGTCATGCTGCAATGAGACCTGCAATCAGAGCGCACCGAACCTTAGTTGAAGGGCCCTTTACTGAAAGCAAGTCTGAGTCTTATATGAATGTTGCATCACAGCTGCCCAAGGGCCCTTTAAGCAATGCGGCAATAGAGTAGCTTTGGATTGGTACGGCAATAGAGTACCTTTGACTTTTTCCTTTAACCCACCAAAGGGATTTGGAGATTCTCCAAGAGCTGAGGAAGGAGACGGGCACCTTGCCTCACGCCGGCGGGCCTAGTTGTTTTTCTTCTTTTTGCGAGCTGAGTTTGGGCTCGATCTCCATTGAACTCAGTCCCTGAGGTCCAGGACTTTACACTCACTTGCCCAAAGACGACCTTTTGACCTTTTTGGTTTCCCCTCTTTGGTTCACTTTTGGTCATGGCCGTTCCATTTCTGGGTCCTTTGAGTGCCTGAGCATATTGAGAAGACCATTTTAGCAGCAACAATGGTTCGGACTTGGAGTGAGCGAAGCCTCCAATGGGGTTCGCTGCATGGGCTTCGCTGCTTGTTTGCCCATGGCAAGAGGCGCGCGGGTCAGCGAAATTCAGCAACCTTGTTCTGGGTACAGCGCGCAACTTTTCGGACCTCCAACTGACATTTGGTTTGTTTGTGCTTGCGCTTTCTCGCTTTTGGTGCAGGCAGACTTAGCTTCACGTGCTTGTCCGGACTCCCGGGGGAGTGACCCCTCTTTGGCTGATACCGTCTTTTTCGCTTTGCGTGGGATTAAGATGCTGTGAATCACCGGGTTGAAGCCTAAGAGAACAAGGCGGTCTTTGACCAGGTTGCGGGCTAAGCAAACAAGGTGGGTTCTAAGGGGTTGAAGGGTAGGAAAACAAGACGGTCCTGCCAAGGACTTTGTGATCTTCTGCTGGTTGCCCCCAGTGGGCGCCTACCGAGCATGCCTCGAGAACACAGACGCGTTGCTGTGGACTGCCGCCCGCCTTGGGCAGAGAACGGCTTGCAGCGAGTTGTTTTTTCTTTTCTGGATGGGCCAGAATCCAGAATCCAGCCATGTTGTTTTTTTAGTTGACGAAGTACAGGCGTTTCTCAAAGGGACCCGCGGTGGTTGGTTTCTTTTTGGTTTTCCTTTTTGGTTTCCCTTTCGTATCATCCAAAAAAGAGTTCCCTTGCGGCCCAGTGCACAAATCGAACTTGAAGCCTTGCGGAGATGTGGGTGCCAGCCGCCACTAACCAAGGGCAAACAATTCCAGTCAGTCACCGTGAGTCTGAACGTTCATTTGGTTAGTCCCGGTGAGTGACAATCTTCCACCAATCAAATGGGTTCTCTATGAAAGAACCTGGACCCTCAAACTACCGTCAAACAAGGGGAATTCACCCCATGATGGGGCACTCACCCATTTTTCAGGGAAGTTTGAGGATCCAGGGAGCCTTTGTCATGGGAGTTCGATCTCCGTTCGCACCAAAGGAGGCCTTGCTGTGGAACGTGCGGGCCGGTGGTTGGCCCTTCAGCCTGGTGGTGCGGGTGCCTGAGCAGCCAGGCCGGCAAGCAGGGGCAGCATGATCTGACCCAATCGGGTGGAGGGAAACCCCAAGGAAAAATAGGTTGGGTGGTTCCTGAAAAAGAAGAAGATCGATTTGATCATGCCATCGACATGTATTGTAGTCATGGATTGGTTTTATCTGGGTTGGTGACCGCAGGCTGACGATAGTCGGCTAGTGTGGGATTACGAGCACCATGTGTTGTCACTCGCTATGAAAATGGGACTGCCAGTTGACTCAGCGGGAAAAGGGTCGCGGCCGGCCGGGAAAAGCAGTTGATTGTAGCTGATAACCCATTTGAACAACATAAATGTAAACATCAAACGAAGACCACGCCGGCGCTTTCATGTCCTGCTTGGCAAAGCAAAACCAGTGCCTGAAACCTCGAGGCAAAACGCTACCTGCTCACCAAACTGGGGTAAATTGATTTGGGCAAGACAGCTCAGACAAGAGCCTTACTGAAGATTGGGGCTTATAAGGCAGCCTTGGCAAGTCTTGGTAAACTCTGCAGGGATTGGGGGGCTGCAGGGCCCTATGAGGATCTCATCACAATGGGAAATTGGCAAAATTAATGTAAACATTGTTTTTATAGAAGGGGGTTGTGGGGCCGGCTTGATTCATTTTCTTTTTGCTTGGACCTTGACGGCAAGCACATCACCTGACGGCAACCCCGTTTTGAGTTTTGCCATGTTCGTGGTCAGGTTCGCGGGTGTGTTTCTCACTTCTGAAGTGGGGGCTTAAGCATTGGGAAGGCCGTCAATCGCAGACACTCGCTGTCACAGCGTCTTCGCGGAATCACCGGTTCGGGGAGTCGGACCGCCACGTGGTAATAGGTGATAGCGTGTGGATAATTACATGAGGATGCTCTTGAGAGTGCCGATGGACTTGTTTTTTACGACCTAGTGGATTTGCGTCAAAACCAGGGCCAGCTTTTTAGGACAGATTTGAGCAGAAACCAATGTCACGGAAACCAACTCCACATTGGTTTGCTGGAGAAGGTCAGCAGCCGTTCCCAAACCACATTGACTTTTGGTTCTACAGGCCTTACCAGAATCCCAATTAAACCAGGAGGGACTTACGCGCGGTGGACAGGAACATGCTTGTTTGTGGTCGAAGGGACGTTAATCTTTAAGCACAACGCACAATGCCGTGGGCTTGGACCTGGCAATGCAAATCACGTAGTTGCTTCCAACTTAAGTGTGCAGTTCAAGTGGACTGCTGCATTTATAGGTTCTGAGATGGGTCGAGCTCCAAAGAAGTCATAGCATGACACTTTCCGTCAAAACCGACATCTGCATCCGCAAGGTCGACTCTGTTCCTGGTCGGCCTACCTTTGGCAGTCTGCGGTCCTGAATTTGTTCAGATTCCGAAAGCCGAGCTTTCCGCGCAGGCCGCGTCTTCCCCCGGAACTTCGGCTTCCGGAACTACCGAAAGGAGCAGCACAACCCAGCTGCAGAGTGCCGCGCCCAGCCGTGCTCCAAACGTCAGCTTGTAGAGGAATCTCTTGGAGTCCCATTTTTGTTGTTCCATTGAGAAATTTGCAGGGGAGTACTTGTTTTCATGGCTGTTCTTTTGGGTGCTTTTGATTGAGGAAGAGAGAGCGGGAACATAAGGGTATGGCTCAAATTAGGGCCTCCCCCTTTTTGGAGGTCTAAAGGACGCATATATCGCTTTGATTGTTTGCAGTCCATCGTCAGCGTGCAGGTTCTTCAGGGGAAAACCTGTGTTTTGGGGTCACGGTGAGCACGCCCCTCGAAAGTGGCAAATCACATGTCACCACAACCAGGGGTTGTAGGTACTCCTGGTGTGGTTTGGCTTGGCCCCAATGGAGTTTGGATCTTCAGGTGGCCCATGCGTTGGGCATGTAGATCCATTTCTGCCGGAAGGACGGCCAACATCAGAAGGGTTCCTGAAGTCTCAGAGGGGTTGCGGAGTCCCATGGTCTCGGTACCTCAGGTTGAGCTACTTCCTGAATCCCACGGATTTCGAGGACGATGACGATGAGATGCTTTTCGGCTGGGACGTCTTCGTGGAGGAAGAGGATGCAACGGTGATTGAAGAGGAAGACGTGCAAGTGCCACTGTGCCTCAAAACTGGCAGCGGTTGGATAAGCAAACGCGGGTTTACCATGCGGACATGTGCAAACGCGTCCCAGGATTAGCACACGTACTTATCACCCAAATTCACCCAAGTGCCCATCCACGCCAAGCACAATCCGCTTCACACACCCATTGCTAGGGTAGGGTAACTGTTGTCGGACCATGACTCCTGCCGCACTGAATGTGTACACCATACATGTACTACCTTAGTATCAACTGCAGTTTAGACGGTTGGCTGGCTATTGACCATCGATGACACCAACCACTTTTGGCCCAAGATGGCATGGGTTTGCATCATGGCCATGGCTTGTGGAGCTCAGGTTGGCTCTGGTGCGTAGGGCTATAGCCCTCATCGAGCGGGCGAACTTGGCAGAAGCCGCACCTGCCGAGGAGGCCGGTGTTCGGCATTTGTTGTCTCCTTTGGCTTGGAAAGGGCCTCCCGCAATTCACACCCAAAAGGTGCCAAAAGGCCAGCCCCTGGCAACGTGAGCAAGAGGTGAATCATAGTTCCAGCCGGCAGAATGTCACTTTTTTTTCTGGGAAAGTCAGGTCGGGATTTGTCTGACCGAAGGGGGTTGTAACATGAATCAAGGGCACCAGGACCCTCCTTTTCGTGATGGGCGGAATCAACAAGTCCCAACCTGGTGCAAGTCTTAGCCGCGTTTGCGTCTGACCCAAAACAGCTTCCGTCTGAAGTATCCTCAAGGTGGGCGGCTTTGGATTTGATTGACGGCGTGCTTGCTTTATGTCCATGTTGTGGCTGAGGCCAGTTGCTGAAACCGGTCTCGCTTCAACAGCTTTGTTTTTTTTGGGGGGGGTCTTACTGATGCCCATTCCGCGCCCCCCGACCCTGGCCCCGGCCCCGCAATTGGGGGGGGCGTGTGATTTTTTTGGCTACGACTAGTGCTTTCTTGGGTCCACGTTTTGTGCCAGGTGAATCATGGTGACTCACCCAGACAGCATAGGGGATCGGAGTCTGAGAACCGGGCTTGGAAATGACATCAACATGCAACCTCAAGTGCACATTGTCCAACAAAGGTGGCAAAAGGACGCTCCTGTTCCTTTCAGGTTGGCAAATGTCTTAAAGTTCACAGACCCAGAAGACCGCAAATCTAATTTAAACACGTATGCCGAACTGAAGATCAGGGGGGCCTCCGTTTGCTATCTAAGGAACCTCCTGATGGCATGTCAAGGGAGTCAGGATCCCATTTGATGGCATGTCAAGGGAAACCGGAAGAAATTCAACTAGTATTTGGCCGTGATTTCTGGACAAACTGACGCACGAAATGATAGTGTGTTGCAAACATGTTCGCGGGTCCCAGTTTCTGACACCCACGTGAGGCCTCGGACAACCTCTCCGAAGGAGCGCAGCGGAACCACGCCGCTGACTTGGCGTCACGCTTCCGGATTCACTATGCACGTTGCCGCGAACCGCGTGTGTCCCTGCAGGCATTAGGGCAATCCCAAGCCTGGGGGCTGCAAGCGCTTCAAGGGGAAAAGATTTCGCCCAAACCCAAAGCCTCCCGTGACATGCCAAAGGCATGCTGCACGGCCACGTTTAGCAGATGTGGCCCATTGGAAGCTCAGGAAATGGGCGTTCTCACCCTTTGCCAATGAAGTTCAAGTGGCCAAACTTGCAGGGGCCTCCGCCCTTGCCCACCTTGTACAGGGAGAATCGGACGCAATTCATTGCGCTCATGCAGAGCATGTGTACAGATGAGGGACGTGAAAACCGACATCTTACGTGCAAGGGTTTGGGATGGCGTTGTCTTGGCAGCACTAAAGTAAGCAACACTATGAAAGAAACATATATGGTAAATCCAGGAATAGGGAAACTGCGGATAAGGATGATATTATATCATATTCATGATGAATAACAAACAATGACAACAATGAGCCGCGCTACTGAGTTTCTCTTGACTTAATTGTATGCTTTGTTTCGACAACGAAGAACATGCAATCACAACCGTCTTTGTTGTGTCGTTTGAAATTATTTAATGATCAACCACTGTGCGGTACACACTTCGACACTGGAAGACAGCAACAACTGTATATTGCTGGTGTCTCCAACTGACTCTGATGATGCTTGTGAGATGTTTGGAATGTGTACAGTGGGTTTGCAATTGTCATATGTGCATTGTAACCAAACATACGACGACAAACAAATCAACAAACCAACGAACACACGGACAAACATACGAGCAATCAGTTCAGCAAGCAAGCTAGCTAGCTAGCAAGCAAGCCAGCCAGCAAGCCGCACGCAAGCACGCGAGCACGCAAGCAAGCTTGCCAACAAACAAAGAACGAAGCACGTAAGCAAGCACAGAAACCAGCAGCCAGCTACCGTACAACGCGCACCGGCGAGCTTTCCGGTTCAGTTTTGCTGAACCGGCCGGCTTCGTTTAGCTTTTTGCATGTCGAGGAGCTGTTTGCGGATCTGGACTTCAAGAAGGAGTATGGCCTCGGTGCGGTGAACTCCATCAACTGGGCGAGGATCATGTTCCAAATCACGCGCCCGGGGGTCGGGGCAGCGGGGGGGCTCGTTTGTTTGAGCTCCAAAGTCCATAATTTGGGGTCTTGGGTTGGGGTAGAAAATTGATGAACGGTTTCCTTCAGCTTTCTTTTAAACAAAAGCAATTGTCCGACATTTTTAGACACTTTCCTCGAGTTCACAAGCTAACCAGACCTCCAGTGGTACCCTTTGAAATGCTTTTGGAGGGAATTCCCGTTGTCAAGCAACAAAACGTGACAATCATGCTTTCCCTTTTGTTCCCATGGCCGCTGGTCTGATGGGAAATCCAGAGGGTTTGGAACTTGAGTGGAATCCATGGTAGGTATTCCTCGCTTCGGATTGGACTTCCCTTGTTGGACCCGCAATCACCCGGCATGAGTGGATGGCTCCAGTGATCAAGATCTACATTGGGCCCAGGAAAAGGTTCCATGCCAGGGGGATGCAGTAGAAAGGTTTGCTTTTGTTTTTTGACATTGTTGTTTTTTCCGGCAAACACGGGGAACACCGGCTTGGATTGTTTGTTTTTCTTTGCTGCATTTGACTGCATACTCTTTGTGTCCAGTGGGATGCTGGCCAAGTTGTTTCAGATATATTGATTTGTCCTTTTTATCCTATTTTGCCAACCCCAACCTGCTTTTGAACCCATAAACCAAGAGGCAAAACAGAGGTCCAAAAACAGGTTTGGGAATGGGACAAAACAGAACCCCCTTTTTTCAACCAGGCTGGTTCGCCCATTGCCACGCATCATAATAACAATTCGACACCCCCCCCCCCCCCCAGATTTGTTGCAGGTTTGCAGTAAAGTGCGGTGGCATAGAGAAGCTTGGCTTGTTTGGGCGCCAAAAAGTAGAAGATCGGTCATGTTGGTCTTACCGGACCGCCGGTTTGGGGGCTCAGACGTGGTAGCAGCGAGGTACTACTTCTACACATACTTCAAGCGCTTGCCTCAGGGCCGACGGATGGAGCATATCCATGGCCACGTGGGTAGGACTGGCATGCCCTCAAGGGCCTGCCTGACTCGGGTGGGGATGGTTCAGGCCCACAGGCGGAAGGGGCATCATGTTCTTTTCAGCGCGAACTCCTGAAGGAATCCTGGGTATCAACCGGGGTCGTCACTGAGGCAGGGTATTTTTTCGGTTGTGGTGTCTTTCAGCGGGGATCTGCAGATTCATGTACTTGCAGAACGAGCAAGACGATTGCGGAACCACTGGCATGACAGAAGCGCTTGGCCAGACTTGAGAACTGCAGAACAAGCCACCTGCTTTCTTGGTGAAAAGGACTTGAATTCAGAACAGCCCACCTATAATACTATAGGTTAAATACACTGGGCAAAAACATGCAAAAAGGCTTGGTTCCGATAGTCATAACACCTGGCACACCGAAACCAAAGACTCTTGGACACGGAACAGCTTTCAACAAACCAGGCGCTGCATAGGCGCTCTGTCAGCGCAAGTTGGGCCCGTTGTTGTGGTTGCGGAACATGTGGGCGTGTGATCTTGTTGAGGCAACCCTTTCAAGGGTTGGCTTGAGGGGACACCAACAGGAGGTGTTCCCCTCCCCCTTTGGGGCTCCACTTGTCAAATTTTGACAATGGGTTCAGGGCCAAGGCACTGCTATGTAGCAGATTGCTTTGGAGGTTCTGCCGAGCGAAATTTGTGGATAAGTGAGGGCCCATACGTACTGTATTTGATCCTTTAAAGTTGCACAAGCATTTTGGAAGAAGCGAAAGTCAATGGGTATTTTTCGAGGCAGAAAAACCACACCCCAAAATTCGTTTGTTGGGTCTTCTGAGAAACAAGAAACAACTTCTGGGCCCCCAAAAACAACCCTTTGGCTTTAAGAGAAACACAGCCTCCACCTGAGGCTTTTCCCCAACTGTGACGGGGAAATCACCTTCAGCGTACCTACGGGGAACTTCGGCGACATCTTGGCTGGGCGCGCCGGCCCAGTTGGCAACGCCCAGCCAGCACCAACAGCTCTATGGTGTGTTCGGTCACCTTTGGGCTATTTCAGGGGCCATTTAGCTGCAACTGAGCTGGCCTGGAAAATGGTTTTCCTTCTGATGTCCCTGCAAGCCACGAAGGGAGACCCTAGTTGCACTGACTGAAGGGTTAGTTGAGGATCCAGAGTCGTCACCCACGGGATAACAGTTACCACAATGGACCTGGCCTAAGAGAAGCGTCCTTAGGGCGGTTATCCAGGGACTTGAGGGCAGTGGAATGCAATGATTGAGGACAGAGTGGGACTTCTGCCGCATACTGTGGATGGACAAAATCCTGCACCAGTTGGGAGGGGTAAAAACCTTGTCAGAGCTTGGATAACCCAACTACCAACTGGTGAAGGAGTTTGTCCATTCAGAAGCCCAAAGTTGCTGGGCGGAAGCAATCCGTGTAGAAGGTGCAGAGTACAAACGCATGCGGAGTTGGAAGATGAGGCTCAGCGAGTGCAAACGAGTGCAGATCACCCGACCATTGCACAGTTAGCAATTATTTGCGTAGCTCATATATATGTGTGCTTCAACTCATGATGCAGGTGTTGCATCACTTGTGGCCGAACGTATCCGAGGCATTGGTCAACGTGCAACATCCAGACAAGACCTAGGTCCACTGCCTGGTTCCAGTCACTACGTTAGGGAAGTGGGGAGTTGAACTTGGTTTTGAGGGGTCAAGATGGTGAAACCTGGATCCGCTCGCAGGTACTACGCTCGCATGATGGGCCTGCCGGTGAAGAATCTCATCGTAGCCGGCGGCCTAGGGAGACCTCCTGGCTTCAGAGAGGTCATTGAAGCTGCAGCAAAACGGGTATGGGGTTCGGGATTGGTCAGCATTGGTACGGGACCAACTCGTGGGTTACTGAAAGAACTCTCATTTTGAGACCCCCACCAAGATCACTGCATGCTCAGAGAGAGTTCATGTTCTTCATTGCTTGACCAAGGCAAGAGAGGTGAGCTGAAAGCAAGATGCATTTGCTCGTAGGGAGAAGGCAGTCCAGAATTGGTGCCAATGATTCCTCGCAGACAGTGCGTTTGGATGACATGTTGTGGGCTTTCGGCAGTTTGTCAGTCTGATGAGGGCCCGTGCTCTAGCCTTTGTAGGAACACCTTCTTATAGAGTGCATCCTGCGTTCACCTGACCAGGATTTCAACACTATTAGCACGCGAATCTTTATCCCTGCCTGCAAATCATGCCTCAAGTTGGCGGGTGTACTCATCTTATATCTTGATGGGCAGGTCCGAAAGATGTTTCCCCGCTGCAGGCAAAGGAACATCGTGTATTTCAGGGGGTTGGACTGGCTCGCTCTGAGGGGTTTGTATAAGAAGAGGAGAGGAACGTTTGTTTCCTGTCGGATTCCTATCGCTTTTCCGTCAGGTTTTGTTAGCAAGCTGTTGGTTTCCAGGTTGGTGTCGCTTTGAAGCAGCAACATCTCATTTGCGCAAGGCCGACCGTTTGACCTTTTGGCTTCCCGGTTCGATCCATTTTCAGTCATGGCCCCAAAAGGTTCGCTCACGTAGCAGATCATTCCACGAACGCCAGCTGCTTGAGCTTTTCCGGCTCCAGACGCAAAAGAAGCGGCCTGTAATCATCGGCATGGTCGGCATGGAACTGCTCCGGGGCAACGCTTGTTGCTTGGTGGCTGGCGTGGGATTTGCCGTGAACTACTTGCCGGTGAAGAAGTATGACACGGGCGATGGCATCTTCTTTTGCGCTATGATGTCGGTGGGAATCCTCATGGTGGGCTTAATGGTTGGAATGTCCTTGACCAGCACTGATGGACTCACAATCCCTGCATTCGAACCCCTAGCTGCAGTGGGTGGGGCACTGTGGATGCTCGGCAACCTCATGTGTCCCTACATCATCCAGTTGATTGGTCTTGGGCTTGGTTTGACTATGTGGGATTTGAGCAGCATGCTCATGGGCTGGTTTATCGGCCGTTTTGGGCTCTTCAGCATCGACAAGGACGAGATCGAGAGGCCCGGCTTGAACCTCATCGGCTTGCTCTTGGCCGCCGTCTCCTTGATCTTCTTCTCCATCTCCTCCGTCATGAAGGATCCGGAGAGCTCGAGCGAGGAGAAATGCCGGAAACCAACGACATCCAAGGCGGAGCC